TCATCTAAGAGGATAAAAATTGACAAGATCATGGATTGCTTTGAGTTTGTTGGGCGAATCACACTTGACAACTGATTTAAGTTCTCATTTTAGACAATAAAAAAATTAGTTTTTTCATGTTACACTCTCAATGTATTACAAGTATTACGATGTAGTCCTTCTGTTAGTTTCCGGTGCTTATTCCATAAAAAAAAAAAAACATCTCATTGACATTGATAAAATGAGTAACTGAAGAGTTATAGTGCAACACTTTTAACACATTCAAGATATAATGTGAAAAATTCAATCTTTGAGAGTAGAAACCCGGCCGATTTATTATCCCTGATGTTTGAGTAAAGGATATTTGATTTCTGTACACTTAAATTTTTTCATCGGTAAACGATATGGTTCATAGTTGTGGATGGAATTTTGAATTTTCCGTAAAGATCGTGGTTTTATTTTAGCTTAGTACTACTTTACAACGTTGACATGTAGTTAATGATATCTGCAAGATTAGATTTTGTTGTTTTCGTATGGCATCTTTATCAATCTATCTACTATAATAATTAATAAATTAAATTTTGAATTTCTAAAAATATTTTTCATTTACTTTGATGATCTAATAATACAAAATTCATCCAAAAATATTTTTTTCTGCTTAAAAAATATCATATTCTTTGCACGGCTCCCAGTGTCAATTAACTTAATTAACACACTTCTCAATGTCAAATAAACATAGTAATCCACACATACCTCTCTTTTCTCTTTGATTTTTTCTTTGTTTATTTTAAATTTAAATTACGTAATTAAAGAAAAAAAATGCTACTTAAAATATGAATATTAGACAAGCAACACTTGATTTTTGATATTATAAAATATCTCCAGACAAGAAATTATTGCTAGAGCTGTCATCTTTGTATTTATAATTTGTATTTATATCTTGTGTCGAGACAATGCATTCGGTTTCAACATAAATTTTATAATTATGGATGTAGAAGAAGTGGTGGTAACATGTGATGGTATATTAATAATCGTGATATTAATATTTACTTTTTATTTGACCATCCAAATACACCTTTGATTAAATTATTTTTATTTAAGTGCTTTCTTTTATGAACATCCTTTATATACAAAGTATTTTTCATAAAGTAATTATACAATAATATTTTTTTAATGTCTTAAGTCGTTCCATTTTTCAAACGTCACCTTAATCTCATGACCTATCAATTATAGCTGTTGAATTAAAAATAAATTTTATCTAACTTTAAAACTCATAATTAGTATGACTTAAAACATAGACTGCAAGAGTTGGGATCCATTAATAACTTCTTGTCTAAACTCGCCCACATTAGTTAGCGTCAATTATATATATTTGTAAATTTAGACGTTCTAACTTTGAATTTTGATAATTTTTTAGAATCTGGTTATGAGGGATAAATCCCTTAGTCTCAGTGTATCTGACATATATTTAATTTGACTAAGAAAAAGATCAGTCGATGTGCACATAAATTGATTCAAGTATTTCTAACCGCTGAAAAAAAAATTTATGCACGATTGAATAGATGTGTTGGCTAATATGTCATTAATGGGGAGAGAGAGAGAGAAATATCGGGACCGTGCTACCAGACTATGTTGCCCAAATATATTTACCAAATTTTGTATTTTAAATGGTGTACCAAAATTTTATGCATCGAATGTTTAGTGAAATTAGTAAATTCCACTGATTTAATCACTCATATTGATTTGAAATACAAAAATTTAGTAAATATAGCATTACTTTGGGTACTAATTGCACTTGTTGGTGCCTTTTTACTCCAATTTGTTTTTTGTCCATAAGACAAACGACACCTGAACTGTTAGTGGGTCTTTTAATTTATGATGCCTGACTACACAACACCTAATATTTTTTGGCTTTCATTTCAAATTTCAATCAGGTGGGGTCACAAATTTTGAGCACCTTAGGTGACCATCTCAATGGCCCTGCCTTTGGGCCAGCCCTAGATAGTTGTGGTGGTGAACATCGTAATGGTGATTGCAATGGTGGTATTGGTTGTGACAGGGACTACAGTGGTGATGTTGATGGTGATGGTGATGGCGATCGCTTGTGGTGGTGGTTGCCATGAACCGATTAATTCTAGGGAGTGACTTCTCAGCCAAGGTTTGAGGTTGTGTTGGGTTTAGAATTTTTGGTCAACTGTTCTACTGGGACTTCAATGGAAATATGTTAAAACAAGGCCCTAAGGTTTAAAAAAGGCGATACAAGTGTAAAATCATGGACTATATCTTACGATGTCTTCAAATATATCTAGAGTATACCAATATATTACCATTTATTGTGGGAGGAAATGCAGTATATAGTTTCTAATCGCAACCTCTCAACCTCTGTAGTATCAAGTTTCTCACTTCTCACATAATCTCTTTTACATAGACGCATTTGACCACCTATCTTAACACACACACACACACTCTCTCCCTCTCTCACAAAGAAAAAATAATTTGTTCATTTCAAACATGTATTGTGTGAAACACGTCTTGTAGTAAATAAATAAGGGCAAGAGAGAGAGAGTACAATGTACGGGCTTATTCCACTGCGACTATTTATTATTGGAGGAAACGTAGGATATAATTTTTGATCACACCCTCTCTCAACCACTGTATTATCAAATTTTTACTTCTCACAATCTCTTTTACATAGACACATTTGACCACCTATATTAACACACACTCTCTCTCTCTCTCTTTCACACACAAACAATTTTTACATTTCAAACATGTATTGTGTAACACGACTTGTAGTAGATAAATAAACGAGCGAAAGAGAGTACAATGGACGGGCTCACGCCACTGTAGCTATTGTGAGACCTAGAGAAAGTTAGATACATAGAATGCTATTTTTTTTCGTATGGCGTAATTGTTTTTATAACTAGAATTCCTAACACCCAAAACACAATAGAGAATGGTATATGAAATAGATACCTAACCGAATAAACAAAATTTAAGCATACAAGTGTTAGATACATTAAGGACTCGTTTGGTTGCTGTATTAGAAATAGATGGATTAGATATAGTAATACAATCTAATACAATACGGAAGGACAAAAGATAAGATTAAATAGGGTATTAGAATAATATGTAATTTTATCAAGTGTTTGGTAATACACAATATAAGTGTTGGATAGTAGTTATTTAATTCCAGCAGTTGTTTAGTTAGAGAATTATTTTATCGTATTAACGTTGAATTAACAAAAATATCCTCAATTAGTGTTTGTTACATTGATGACAACTTGATTTTTATCAGTTAAGGGATTATAATAGTAAATGTGTAGAATAATACGTTTGAGTTGGATTATAATACCATATTTTTTGGTGGTATTGAAAAACCTCCATAATACAGAGCTATCGTATAAAAAATATACGATAAGTATACGATCAATATACGTTTTTGAAATTAATACAATATCAAATTTGCTTACCAAACAAAGTATTATGCCCGATTAAATAAAAAATAGTACAATCTAATATTTAATCCCCTCATAATACGTCTACCAAACGAGCACTAAGTATATACCCACAGTCACAGAGAGTTTATGCACCCTCCTGGTGCCCTTAATTACTTCACTCAGCATGTCCAAAACCCACTGAACAACAGCTCATAGTTTTGTGCATAAATGGTTGTGAGAATTTAAGTAGATTGTCAATTGGATTTGTGCTTTACAGGTCCCTATTCAATGTAGAAAAACTGCCTCTTCAATTAAACGCTCACAAAAACAGTTGTCTTGAATGTTTAATTATTAGGGACACTAAAGTTGTGCCAAAGTTGAGATAATGGGGTTGCCCAAGTGGTTGAGAAGTTGCATCCTCATAACCAAATTTAGACCTACAGTTTTTGGATAATTGGTTATATAAACACAAACACGATATTAATGTGACACAAACCTAAAATAATATGGCCCGAGTATGACACAATTTGACCCGATTGACACCAAAAACTAGAGGTAAAAGATGTTCTAGTAAAGCTACATCACACCAAAAAATTAAAATGAACATATAAATCCAACTTCAAATTTTTTTTGGCTAGATAAAGTATTCATTCACATTTGCAAAGGTGTACAAGTATGAAGCTCCAAACTGTTATCACACATCAGTAAGATCAAAAAGATCACTAGAAACAGAAGAATTCCAGGGTTTAAGAAAGGCAAGTTTCTGGGGGAGAATTACTGGAGCAAGCAGTGATTAATTTGCTGTTGGACCACTTGTAGAATGGATTAAGCCAACTTTAATTAGTTGCTTCTTAATGATGTTGATGTGAGGCTGTCTTCTTCATTTGCTGAGGTGGATGTGCAATAATAGAGGACCTCTAGATGGAATTGGAATCAATTTCCAGAGTACAGTAGTTTTTCAAATTTTTCTCTCTTTTTACCATACGTTTTTAACATGTTTTGTGACATATCATGGTTTACATGAAACTGTGGATTGAATCCACACTTTCTCACTGCTAGTTATTAAATTACACCATTGACAAAGGTGACAAGTTGGGTACGAGTTCACTTTAAGGTTAATGTCCTTTTAGAGCTACCACAAGAGATTTATCATAATTGCACGTTAGATAAAACAAGGATCAAAATTTTTGGAGATGTTTTGGCAATGATAAAAGATCAAAACGAATAAGTGATAAAAAAAAATAAAAATTTTCATACTTCAAAATCAAAATACCAAATTTTTTCTCAATTTTCATTAGATTTTCGACACATATCCCTTCCAAAGATGACAATGAACCCCTCGTTAGCAACCAACCAAAAAATTCAGTAGTCTAATGTGTCCTTAGTATTAGCAACGAGTTTGATATGTGTCCTTATTCCATTTAATATAAGACAGTTGGGAGAAAAAGCTGCCAACTGATCATTAATTAACATATACCTATCAAGAAATGTGACTGTGAGAGAGAGAGAGAGAGAGAGAGAGAGAGAGAGTTTATAAAATATATCATTCAGAGTCCCATTTGTAAACTAGTTAAAAATCAGATATTATGGCTCATCCAATTCACCAAGCTAATGGAAACAGCCCTTATGGAGACCTTACAAAGGAAGAGTTCTACAAAAAACACCAAGTACTCCACCAAGAAAGCTTCATGTTAAACAAACAGAACATGAACATTTTCACTCAGTCCTGGTGCCCCAATGCCACCACCCCTCAGCTAAGAGGCCTTGTAGCCATGGTCCATGGCTACAGCTCAGAGAGCAGCTGGCTCTTTGAGCTAACTGCGATCGCCCTAGCAAAAGCTGGGTTCTATGTTTGTGCTCTTGACCTCCAAGGCCATGGCTACTCCGATGGTCTACGCGCTCACATCCCAGATATTAAGCCTGTAGTTCGCGATTGCATCCAATTCTTTGATTCAACACGAGCCAACCACCCGAAACTCCCAGCTTTCTTATATGGTGAGTCTCTTGGTGGTGCAATTGGAATGCTAATATGCCTAGAGCAAAGAACTGAGTGGAATGGTTTGATACTAAGTGGAGCTATGTGTGGAGTTTCAAAGAAGATGAGACCAGTGTGGCCTATTGAGAAGCTACTTCCTGTGGCAGCCTTTATCGCGCCCCGTTGGAAGATTTGGATCACAAAACCTCCTTCTAAAATAGCATATAAGGAGGATTGGAAGAGAAAGTTGCATGTAAAGAGTCCAAAGAGCTTGGCAAATATGAAGCCAAGGGCAGCCACTGCACTGGAGTTTCTGAGAGTTTGTGAATATATAGAGAGGAATTGCCATGAACTTGAGGTTCCAATGCTAATATTGCATGGTGGGGCTGATAAGGTTTGTGATTCTGAATCTGCTAAGTTTGTTTATGAATCAGTAGCAAGTAAGGACAAGAGCTTGAAGATTGTTGAAGGCATGTGGCATCAGATGATTGGTGAACCAAATGAAAGTGTGCAGAGAGTGTTTGAGGTGATACTGTCATGGATTGGCGAGAGAGCTGACAAAAACTAAAACCAGCTGGGATGTGTTTTGAGTTGTTAAATGATGTGCAAAATCTAATGTATATTCCTATGAATTTGGCATTGGATATGAATAGTTTGGTGCTGGTTGTAAGGATGAAAATGTCACTTGGTTTCCACCTAAACGATCATAATGCTTTGATTTCTACGAAAACTGAAATGAATAGTGATTGACTATAAAAAAATCTCTAAATTATCAGGTATTTTGATGTGTTTTGACATCTTTCGGTATGTTTTAGTCAATGTATGTCTATCTCTTTTTTTCTATTGCCATTCTTTCAGAAATAAAATTTCTGATATACTTCTAAACCATTTTTTTTTTTTGACCCGACATGAATTACTCACTGAAATGGACTTTAGATCTTTTGTCGGCAGAGAACACAGTTAGGGGTTTTACACCATTTAAAGAAATATGCTGATTTCTAATAGTGTTGGGTACAATTCTTTCCTGCTACTGCTCGAATGATATCTCGTAGGGAGGGAGCAATTTCTTGAAAGAAACTGCGACTTCAATACACGAGGCTTTAGTCACGAGAGAAAAGGATGGTTAAATATATGCAGTTTACCTTATTTACAAAAAAACTGTTTCGTACTGTAAAAGTAGCGATAGTTCTCACAATTTTTATTTTTTTTGCAATTATGCTCCATTTTGTAGATCCTTCCAAGTCCATCGAGTCTCATGGTAAAATTAACATGACTGGGGGCTATCATATTGCATATGCACTTCTACATAAAGTCCAGCACAAAATTGCTATAGTTCATAGATTCTTGGGCAAGAACAGCATATGCAGCATAAGTACTTCTCTTGTAACCTGATCTCTTCTTGATTTTCCAGTTGTTGTGAATGGAAATGCAATCCCCCACGTGATTGTATCACACATTTGTGATGAAAAATTTAGTAAGAAAATTTAGCAAGTGTAGTAGCCTTTCCCTAATTGAATATAAGCAACTGGACTTGACTATGGTACAAAAAAAAAAATATTTCGATACCATACCTCTATTTACCACATTTGTGGTTATTTTTTATTATATTTGTGGGTCTTTTTACCATTATTGGAGTACTCTAAAAAATGATAAAAATAGTTATCACAACAGTGGTAAAAAACTACAAATGTAATAAAAATATCCACAAATATAATAAAAATACCAATAAATGTGATAAATTTTTTGTACTAAAAAAAAAGTGGTAAAAATAATTATCACAAATGTGATAAAAACACTTATAATAATGGTAAAAATACTTATAAAAGTGATAAATTATCCACAAAAATAATAACATTTTTAATTATAAACTAACTCATAAAAATTATAAAAATAAACCATTAAAAAGGTAAAAATTAGAAATAGGTTACCAAAATTATTAGTTCACTACCGTAGGTTGTGTTTGATAAAACTAAAAGGTGAACACTAAAAATTAAATTTGAAGTTTTAAATGCTGAATTTTTTTAATTCACATACTATTTGTTATCAACTGAAATTTAAGTATTAAATTTAATCAAACTGTTTGTTAAATATAAGGAGTTGAAAGTTTAAAAATTATTATTATTCTAATTTTGTTATTCTCTTTAACCATTTTTCCACAACTGTCTTATAACTATCACCACCACCACAAATGGTGGTAATAGTGGTGGCGACAACGGTGGAGGTGGTGGCGATAACATAATAGTAGTGATGGTGACGACAACATAATGGTGGTGGTGGAGGTGGTGGCGACAATGGTAGTGATGGTGGTGGCAGTGACACAATGGTAATGGTGCTGAGAGTGATGGTGGTAGTGGCTGCACCACTATGGTGGTGGTGGCGGGACACAATGGTAGTGACGGTGGTGACAATGGTGGTGGTGGTGGTGGCACAATGGTGGTTGTGGTGGTGGTGATAGCGGTGGCACAATGGTAGTTGCGACGATAATATAATAGTACTGGTGGTGGCAATGACACAATGGTGGTGATGATGGTGGTGGTGATGGTTGTGGAGGTGGTGGCAACAATGATGGTGGTAGTAATGGTGGCGACGTCGACAATGGTGGTGGTGATGGTGGCAAAATGGTGGTGGTAACAGTGGTGGTAATAATGGTGGTGACAATGACACAATGATGGTGATGATATATTTATCCACTATGAAAAATTGATAAAATCTTTACTGATTATAATTTTTAGCATTAAGTGATAAGTAGGTTGCTTGCTATTTAAAATTTTAGTCTATTTTGAAGAAGTGCTTAAAATATTAAATAGTATGAGTTTTAGGTTATCAAACAGATTTAATCTATACCACCAAGTAGGGTGGTCTAGTGGGATACCGACCTTAATTTTCATCTTGAGGTTAGGAGTTCGAGTCTAAAAGTCCCCATTGAGATTTGGTGGTTGATCGCTATACTAGTTTAGTTAGGTTTGATCTCGAGAGGTGTTGTAGGCTCGATCAGGGGTCTTATGATCCCACCGGTGAGGGTTTATTGGGGTGGTCGCTGAACGCTCTTTTTTATTCTCACCTTTTTTTTAACCAGAAAAAAAAAAAAAATTTAATCTATTAAGTAATTAAAATATTTAATTTTAAGTTTTTAAGTAATGTTATCCAACAGCCCGTAGTCCAAGTCTTAACCAACTACCTTCTTTGCATGGTGTAAAATTTCGTTGTACGAAACGTTTATTTTTGGCAAGATTCTTTGTCTGACGAGTGTCCTGAAGTCCAACGACAACACTGCCAGAAAGACTTGGATGTTATCACATGCCCACCTCTACCTGATCTGGGAGTAAATGTTGCTGTCACGGTTACACAGTATTATTACATTGACATGATATAATTATTAAATAAAAACAAATTAAGTGATTAAAGTACCCCATTTTTCTTCGTGAGTAATTGTTAGATAATTACTTAATTGTGTAAGATTTATTTGTTAATATATTATTTTATTAATGGACAATTATAATGTATCAACGTGTTCATATGATGTATCAGTGATATCTAATATTTTTTCATAATCTCCAAAAAATTCCGTGATGGACAACAACGGCAGAGGGAGGAAGAGGTCTAGACCTACCCTGAATTTTTTATTTTTTTACTTTTATATATTGGATATTTTCAATTGGATTCGCCTTAATGATTTAGAAAAAATAAAATTAATTGAGTCAAATAAATTGGTATTAAAACAAAAAAAATAAAAAGTTCATACCAAACCTCTTAAAATATGCGAACTAAATTGATTTGTATGTGATGTTTATGTGCTGTTAGAGTATCGGTATAATTTGTTGCAGCCTCCTGTAGTTAAAAAAGAATATACAACCAATATATAGTATAATTGTATATTAATTACAATTTTTTTAAAAAAAAATAAATTTTTTTTTTGATTTTATTTCAATAAATGATACAATAATACATGAATTTTGATTGTAAAATTTAAAATATTTGATATTCTATCTTTAATTGAAGTATTTTTTGTCTAAGTATAAAATTATAAACTTGAGAGATCTAAATATTATACGTCTACAAACTTTAGGGATCTGGATGTAATTTATTAACAAATATACTAACGGATATTGATGGTAGGAGTCTAAGTGTTATATGCATACAAACTTCAGATAGTCTGTGTATAATATTTCAAATGTCATACAGTGTGAGTAATTAAGTAACAAACTTTGTACACTTGTGATATTATTAATGGACAGTTACACTGTTTCGGCGTGATCACATAATTAGGTTAATAATTGAACCAAGTTGTTTGAATTTGACTTGGGTAAGACCCAACTCGTACACTAAACGAGTTGAATTTGAATAATTTTTTAGACTATATTTAAAAAACGAGACTAAAAAAACTCAGTTCAAACTTGTAAAACTCGATTCATTTATATATAAAATAATCGAGCTATTTGGGCTCGGCCTATTTCTTAAACGAGTCGTTCTTGAATAATTTATTAGACTTGTTTTAAAAAAAGAGTTTGATAAACTCAACTTGATTATAAACTCCACACATGATTTAACGGTGATATACAACAACTTTTCCTAATCTCCAAACCAGTGTTATAAGAATCGGATCTGACCAGTCGATCGGACCGGTTCAATCATGACCCAAAATTTCAATCAGTTTGGTTTCTAATTAGACCGTATAAGAAATAGAATCCGCTAAAAATATAAAAATCGGTCGCCTTTTATAAAAAACCGTCAATTTGGCGATTTTTTAAAAATCGGGAGGTTTGAAGACAAATGAAAAATTAAATTATTTGGGCCATTCTTTTGCCCTACATCGCAGAAGCCAGCCACCACTCCAGGCGACCAACGAGCAGCAACCAGTGATCAGCATACCAGGGAGCAGCAACCACCGATCAGCAACGAGCGACCAGGCAACCAGCGAGGAACTTAGGTGACTGCGACTAGCGACCAGCGAGGAACCCAGACGATCTCTCTCCCCTGATCTCTGCTGTCATCTCCTCCCTTTACTTGCTTCTATCAGATCAGACTGTTACATCACGGTAAAATATGTGTCATGCTCTTAATCTATCAAATCAGACTGTAAATTCTTCGTTTGGGTATAAAAAAGTTGGGATTGTCCTTCATGGGCATGTAATAGTTGACGGGTATGGCTCAGATGTTTGTTGGGTCTGCTTTGGTGGACATGTATTCTAGTTTTTCTAAGGTTGGCCATGCGTATAAGGTGTATGAAGGAATTTCTGAGTCGGACACGGTTCTTTGGAATACAATGATTTCTGGGTTGGCAAGGAATTGTTGTTTTGAGGAGTCCATTCGGGTCTTCCAAGATATGGTTGTTAGAGAGTCAAATTTGATGCCAACTTCATTAATTTTATTATAAATTATATGTATTTTAGATTTATTTTATATATTTTTTTAGTTAAATTATGATGTTTTATAATTAGTATATATATTTTTTTATTATATAATTGATCCGATCAATTAAATTATTTATTGAGCTAGAGAACTATTGATTCAGGTTCGATGAACGATTCCATTGTGATAACATTGCTCCAAACAATTCCGTGAGGGAGAACACTTTAGGTACAGACAACCCAAATGTCGGTACCGTACCAAGAATATATGTGGTAGTAAAGTGAACAACGTGTTACTGTTACCTGTGATCCGGCTACAAAGGTTTCTTCTTCTAGTTAGGTAACTTTGCAAATAGTAAGCTAATCCCAAATCCTACAAA